TCTAGTCAAGGCAAAAGCTCCTGGGAGATTAATTCAAGGTTCTCTCCTGCAGTCTGCAGGGTCGTAGGTGAGTCCTCAAGTGCCTTTTCTTCTTTGGAAAAGAAAAGGCACTCCTTTATCAAGTATTTTACATTTTTTTCCTTGCATATCAAACTTGTGCATATCAATTTTTTCATAATTTTCTTCCTTTGTTTTTCCAACACTGCACTGCATCATTCTCATAAGATACCTGTTGATTGGCTTTTTTTCCCTCTGACTTGGTCCATGTGCTTTTGCATTGGTATAATGTTTCTTAAAAATTATGGCGTGATGTTGATAATGTCTACCTCATTGCCAAAGAATATATTCTAAAAATTTTAAGATATTTTTTAGTTTCTAAAATGGAACAGTATGATTTAATAGTTATATTTGTTTCTTCCACTCACTTTGACTACTTTTTTCAAGAAGGATTTTTACAAACTTGTATGTACTGTCAATTTCCCCTAGAAATATCTTTGGAATTGGATCATTTTCATTTGCAATTTTTGACCAAAAAATCCTATGTATCTCTCCCTCCTGGTGTATTATCTTTCTCTTTCCCTCTCTTATCCTTTCTCCTTTTTTCCTCACACACAAAGTCCGTATTTTTTAAAACTTTAATTTTAAAGTGGTTTGAATTTTTTCATGCCATGTAAATATATTATAAATGTTGTAAAAGTAACTATGATATATAACATCAGTTTATGTAGATTTGTTTATCTCATGATTGCTAAATAATTAAAATTAAATTTTATTCTCCTGGTATTTTGGAAACTTTTGCATTACAGAATATTACTATATATTTTCAGATGCAGAATGATGCTGGAATAAAACATAAAATCAAGATACAAGCCTTACTTTACCCTGGCTTACAGATAACAGATAGCTATTCGCCATCTCACCGAGAAAATGAGCATGGTATAGTTTTGACAAGGGATGTAGCTATAAAACTCGTGAGCTTGTATTTCACCAAGGATGAAGCACTTCCCCAGGCAATGAGGAGAAACCAACACATGCCTCTGGAGTCAAGACATCTGTTTAAGTTTGTTAATTGGAGTGTTCTTCTTCCTGAGAAGTATAGAAAAGACTATGTTTATACTGAACCAATTCTTGGAGGACTTAGTTATTCATTGCCAGCACTTACAGACGCCAGAGCATTACCCTTGTTGGCCAATGATTCCCAGTTACAGAATTTGCCACTAACCTATATTCTTACTTGTCAACATGATCTCTTAAGAGATGATGGACTTATGTATGTTACAAGACTTCGAAATGTTGGAGTCCAAGTTGCTCATGACCATATAGAGGATGGAATTCATGGAGCTTTATCATACATGACTTCACCATTTTATTTACATCTAGGTCTTAGGATAAGAGATATGTATGTAAGTTGGCTGGATAAGAATTTATAAGTATGTAATAAATATGTATAGACCTTATATAGTGGGTTGTAATTTGTGGTATTTTGTAGTTTGGGGGCAAAGAACAATGTCATTTAAGTTGTCTAAGTCTATATTTGAATCATTTGTAACAGTTAATGTGTGTCCTTGAACAGTTATGACATTTTCTGACTTGCAGACCCTCCATATGTAAAATGTATGTAAGCGTGCCTATTTTCTCCTTATTTATAATTTATTATAATTATGTTACTCCTAATAAGAACCAATGCTTATTAAAATTGGAAAATAAGAGTGGTTATTGGCAAATTAGGAAAGACAGTTTCCAGACAGGCACAGGAATTTTTGTAGTGAGTGGGAAGAGGAAAAAACAAGGCACAAAATTGTTGCTAAAAGTGTATGGAAACTACTGGATGAAATAAACCATAAGGGCCCTATATTAGTTTCCTGTGCCTATTGTAGCAAATTACTACAAATTCAGTTGCTTAAAATAACAGGTATTAATTTTTTTATTGTTCTAATTATACTATGAAATTAGTATTAACTAGATTCAAACCAAGTCATAGACATGCCTCCCTTGGAGACTCTAGATGGCGCTCTTTTCCTCTTTTAACCTCTGGTGGCTGCCAGCATTTTTTGACTATTGCCAGATAACTTCAATCTTGAAGGCCAGCATCTACCAATCTTTCTGTTTCATCTTCACATTGCCTTCATCTCTGCCTGTGTCAAATCTCCCTATGGGCTTCTCTAAGAAAAACACATGTTTTTACATTTAGGAGGGTCCACCTGAACAGTCTAGGATAATCTCCGAATCTCAAGACCCTCAATTTAATTGCATTTGAAGATTTCCCCACCCTTTTCTATATAAAGTAACCTTCAGAGATTAGGATGTAGTTTTTTGGGAGGTCATTTTTAAAAACATTTTCAGTCAAATTTTATTTTTTAAAGGAGGCAGTACATTAATATTATAATTCAATAATCTGATATAAATATGCATTCAATAATGATGAACATTTGAGTAGGGACTAGAAAATCTTCTCCAAAAACTTTCAAATATAACATCTCAAATTACCTAAAGAATAACTCACTTCTGTAGGTCTTTTTTGAGTGGAATCATAAACAAAAAACTGAAGATACATTGCTATGAAAACAGATTTATGCTATGATGTTATAAATTTTGAGTATTAAGCATAATCAGTTGAATTCAATTAAGAAATTGAAAATTTAGTAAAAAAAAAATGTGTATTTGTATGAGTATGTGTATGTGTGTGTGAAAAATCTACCATCCAATTGACCCAAAAGCAACTTACTCAATTGGGACCAGACATTATTTTCAATTCTCCACTATTCACAAGGCAATTAAAAATTACAATTTCAACAGTCCACAAACAAAATAAGATTTTTTAATGTAAAGAGAAATTAATTATGTTCAAAGAGCCATTTTTCTTTCACACCATTTCAGTACCACAAAGCTAAAAATGCTTCCATGACTACAATAAGTGTCACTGAAATCTATTATTTTTCTCCTCTGAGAAATGGAGATTTGATACTATGTGATATATACTAAGAAAATTGTAGTTTTCATATTTCTGATTTAATCTCCTTTAAACTTGATGTATTTTTAAATTTGTAATTTGTTTTCCATGATACTGAATCTGGTTCCAGTTCTTTTAATTATTTAATATACTGGCTACCTGTTCTAATTAGGAAAACAAGTCCTAGGAATCTCTTCATTTTGACAGCATGTTCTGATTTGTAAGCAAATCATTAAAAATGCAGCTCTCTAATGGAAAGCACATTTTGTTGATTGTCCTATTGTCTGAACATTTTTCATAATGATTCCTGACTAAAAATCCTTTCAATTTTGTAAGTACTACACTAGTGTGTAGCATCCCTACTATGCACTTTAAAGCCTTTAAACAGGGAGGATAGCTCAAAGCTAGGTATAACTAAATTTGTTTTAATTTTTGAAAAATCTTATGTCATGCAGAGCAGAAAAACACTTTTCTTTTGCTATATAAGTACCTTTTGGTAGAAAGGTACGCTGAGGTAGGCCAGTCAATCCTTGTTTATTTATTTTGTAAATTTGGTCCCAGAATATTTATGGAAGGAACCACAGCTAGATTAGCTTCCATTGCAGTCCCTTACCTCACTAACTTCTTTTGTGGCTTTATCCAGGCACTGTTACCATTTGCATGCTAAAGGGTTCATTTCACTGGGTCATACTTTCAAAGTTTGTTCCCTTCTGTGTGGTGGCATATGAGCATTGTGATCAAGCCATTATGTTTGGAAACAATCTAACAAAAGTCATCTGTCATAATGTGTTTTATTTTATCTTTTAATTGACAACAATTATACATATTCATGGGATATATATAGATATGTTTCAATACATATCACATATAGTGATTATATCAGGGTATTGGCACATCATCTCAAACATTTATCATGTTTTTGTCTTGGGGATGTTCAATATCCTCTTTTCAGCTGTTTGAAATTATGTAACATATTATTGTTAACTATAGTCATCCTATAGTGGTATAGAAACTACCTCGCTGTAATGTATCTTTTAACAAATCTAATTTGTTTCTTGATGGTATAGGGGAAGACATGATTACACCCCATGCAGTGACATTCCAGTGTTTTCAGTCTCTTTGTAGCTATGTTATCCAGACATTGATTTGTATTTACATCTCATCTTTCTTTCTAAGAGAAATAGTTATCCAGAAGCTGAGAGTCAAGATTAATATTCTCTAGCTACCAAGACAAGGGTTTACATTGTAGTTTGTGTCTTAGTCCAAGTCTTGATGATACAGCTTATGTGGAAACACATAAGGTGTAGGTTTCTGATATGCATGTCTAACATGTAAGGAAGTAACTATTTCCTAAGTACCTCCAAACGGCACTGCATCCTAAAGGAAATTTCTAGGGTTTTCTGCTGAAATATCCATTCCTGCATTGTGTTTGTTTGCTAGAGCTGCCATAACAAAGTATTACAAAATGAGTGCCTTAAATAAACAAAAGGAATTTATTGCCTTGTGGTTCAGAAGGCTAGAAGTCGGATATCAAGGTGTCAGCACACCATGGCTCCTCTGAAGTCACCAAGGATGAATCTGTTTCAGGACTCCTGGCCTGTAGCAGCATAATTCCAATCTTCACATGATATTTTCCCTTTGTATGTGTTTTCCTCAATTTTCCCTTTTTATAAAGATAGCAGTCATATTAGATTAGGGCCTACCCTAATGGCTTCATTTTAACCTGTGTCTTTGTAAAGACCCTATCTGTAAATAAAATCACAGGTAAAGTATTGGGGGTTAAGAGGTGGGGGGTGTGTGTGTGTATGTTGTTTTATGTATATATATGTTGTTATATGTTACCTGTTGTTGTATGGTGGAACACAAAAGAACACCTAGCAAGTATCATATGTTCCAGTTTCTTAAAAGTAAAAAATGGTCTTGTACCATTAATGGTGTTCTGAAAGGAAGAGTCAATCAATTTTTCTTCTGTGTTATTTCTCTCTGGGAACAGAATACCAGCAAAAACAGCAGCTAGCTGAATACACCATACATCATATCAGAACCTGCCATGTGCTCAGAAGTACCTTCATGGGTCATATCAATGGTAGAAGATACCACTTCTCCTATCATGTATGATCCTATTGTACGCTCACCATCTATGAAGAAAAGCACTTGCCCTTGAGACACAGCAGCTCCTTTTAAATCTAGCTCTGATAAATCCATAAAAATTGTTCCATTTGGATTATGTGAACTAGTACTTTTAATTTGTTCACATAGCTCTCTAGAGCCTTTTCAAAAAGTTCTCTCACTGATAGAACTTACTGGAACAATTTCTCCTAGCATGTGCCTTGGTGAGACATTAATGACACTAATGACACTATGGACAGTTCACAGAAGTCTGCTGCAAGCCTCATTGTGGACAGAAATATCCACATTTGTAGGAAGATTATCTGGATACACCTTTGTTTGACTCCATCCCCAGCAGGAGGTCCTCTCTCCTTTTTATTTTCATTTTTAAAATCACATCTGTTGTATTCACAGAAGTAACACAGCAGGAGCAAATATACCTATATACCAAAGAGATGGAATATAAAATCCTATATATACTTATTTGGATACATACATATATAAATGTCTGTTAGAATAGACATAATAATGCACAAAAATAAATGTCTATTAGAGCGTTTCCCTAAAATTAAATATGGCATATACCTTTCCATTTAAGTAAATCAAAAGCTGATAATTTTTGAAGATGAGTAAGACAAATAACACCACACACCCCTCCTCAGACTCATAGAATAAAAAAGATACAATATTGGCAATGAATAAGAAGATAGAAGGTATTAAAATAATTATGTGACTGCTATGTGCCCTTCAGGGCAACATATTTAAAACCTAGAGGGCATGGGTAAGATATAAATGGGGGAAAAACGGCACTCTCTATAGTATAATTTGAAGTCAGGTAACTTGATGCCTCCAGCTTTGTTCTTTTTTGCCAGGATTGCCTTGGCTCTTCAAGCTCTTTTTTGGTTCCATATGACTTTTAAAATAGTTTTTTTTTTTTTTTCTAGTTCTGTGAAGAATGTTACTGGTAGTTTGATAGGAATAGCATTGAATCTGTACATTGCTGTAGGCAGTATGGACATTTTAACGACATTGATTCTTCCTACACATGAGCAGGGGATGTTTTTCCATTTGTTTGTGTCATATCTGATTTCTTTGAGCAGTGTTTTGTAATTTTCATTGTAGAGCTCTTTCACCCCCCTGGTTAGCTGTGTTCCAAGATATTTTTTATTCTTTTTGTGGCAATTGTGAATGGGATTGCATTCCTGATTTGGCTCTTGGCTTGGCTATCATTGGTGTATAAGAATGCTAGTGATTTTTTGTACATTGATTTTGTATCTTATAACTTCGCTGAAGTTGTTTATCAACTGAAGGAGCTTTTGGGCCAAGATCATGGGGTTTTCTAGATATAAAATTATGTTATCTGCAAACAGGAATAATTTGACTTCCTCTCTTCCTATTTGGATGCACTTTATTTCTTTCTTTGGCCTGATTGCTCTCACCAGGACTTCCAAGACTCTGTTGAATAAGAGTGGTGAGAGAGGGCATCTTTGTCTTCTGCCAGATTTCAAGGGGAATGCTTCCAGCTTTTGCCCACTCAGTATGATGTTGGCTGTGGGTTTGTCATAGATAGCTCAAACAGCATGGTTCTAGTACAAAAACAGACACATAGACCAATGAAACAGAATAGAGAGCCCAGAAATAAAGCCACACACTTGAAACCACCTGATCTTCAACAAAGCTGACAAAAGCAAGCAATGGAGAAATGACTCCTTATTTAATAAAATGGTGCTGAAATAACCGGCTAACCATATCCAGAAGATTGAAACTGAACCCCTTTCTTACACCATGTATAAAAATCAACTCAAGATTGATTAAAGACTTAAATGTAAAACTGAATACTATAAATACCCTTGAAGACAACTGAGGCAATACCATTCTGGATATAGGAACAGGCAAAGATTTTACAATGAAGATGCCAACAGCAAACACAACAAAAGCAAAATTTGACAAATGGCATCTAATTAAACTTAAGAGTTTCTGCACAGCAAAAGAAACTATCAACAGAGTAAACAGACAATATACAGAATGGAAGAAAATATTTGCAAACTATGCATCTGAAAAATGTCTAATATCCAGCATCTATAAGAAACTTAAATTTATAAGAGGGAAACAAGCAACCCCATTAAAAAGTAGGCAAAGGATATGAACAGATACCACTTTTCAAAAGAAGACATGCATGTGGCCAACAAGCCTAAGAAAAAGGCTTAATATCACTGATTATTAGAGAAATGCCAATCAAAACCACAATGAAATATCATCTCACATCACCCAGAATGGCTATTAAAAAGTCAAAATAATAATAATAATAACAGATGCTGGCAAGGTTGCAGAGAAAAGGGACTGTTTCTACATTGCTGCTGGGAGTGTAAATTAGTTCAACCATTGTGGAAAGCAGTATGGAGATTCCTTAAAGAGCTAAAAACAGAACTACCATTTGACCCAGCAATGCCACAACAGGGTATGCACACAGAGGAATATAAATCATTCTAACATAAAGACACATGCATGTGAATGTTCATGGCAGCACTGTTGGCTATATCAAAGTCATGGTATCAACCATGACTTTCCATCAATAACAGAATGGATACAGAAAATATGGTACATATATGCCATGGAATACTATGCAACCTTAAAAAAGAATGAACTCATGTCTTTTGCAGGAACATGGATAGAGCTGGAGGCCATCATCCTTTGCTAACTAATGAAGAAACAGAAAAACAAATGCTGTGTGGTTCTCACTTATAAGTGAGAACTTATAAGTGCTAAATGATGAGAACTCATGTACACAAAGAAGGAAATAACAGACACTGGGGCCTACTAAACTGTGGAAGATGGAAGGAGAGAGAGAAGGAAAAATAAAAAAATTGAGTATTAGTCTAAGTACCTGAGTGATGAAATAACCTGCACAACTAACCCTCGTGACATGAGTTTGCCTATGTAACAAACCTGCACATGTACCCCTGAACCTAAAATGAAAGCTACAAAAACAAGTAATTGCTAACCATAGCTAGAAAAAAATGACCCTCCCCTATCTTATAAAGCTGAGAAAAACTGGAAAATTAATTCATAATACATCACTGGAGAAGGCATCAGCAACAGACGGATTCATAGTAACATGACTTTTATCAGAATAGCATGAGTTACTTAAAACTAATTAATTACAATTGAAATTATTCCAAGTGGCAGAAAAACAATGAAAGCATTCCAGTTCTTTTTAGGAAGCAATCCAGCAATATATTAAAAGAAAACACAGTTTGAGCAAACAGGCATGCCATAGTAACTCAGTACCAAAGTATATATCAATATAATTTATTACATCAAAAAATTTATAGATTTAGCAGAGAAGAATTTTTTTTAAAAAAAGAATTAATAGAGAATAGTCATGTGAATGAACCAATTAAGGAAAAGGCGTGATAAAATTAATAGCTTGTCCCAATGTATATAAATCAGAGGAAACATGAATAGGTTAGAATTCCTTAACATGATGACGGTTAAATTGCCAAACACGATGGAAAGAGTTATCATAAACAATGAATCACAAAACATTTTTCTGTCGAAATTGTAAATAGATGACTATTATCACTCATATCTCTTGAATCCTACTAGTTCCAATTCAAATCAGTTTATCGACATTTTTATCTTATATCTGTATCTACTTTTCTTCACACTAAGATTCCTGCTTCTCAGGTACACCAGAGACAACAGGATTATATTATATTGTTTTTCACCTGCTTTATCACACATTACACAGAAGTCATTTTTAGAATAACATTCAAACACAACCAGCAGCGTGATTGTTGGAAATAGTTTAAAATGTTTTGCATGCATTCGCCCCATTTGCTCCCCATATTTTAAAAATAAACTTTTGATTTTGAGATAATATTTTTCAGAAAAGTTGCACGGAAAGTATAGAGAATTTCTGTACCACTTTCACCCATTTCCTCCTTCACTAACATATTGCATAACCATAATACATTTTCCAAAAATAAGAAATCAACATTGGTATACTACTATTTTTTTATTGCATTTTAGGTTTTGGGGTACATGTGAAGAACATGCAAGATTGTTGCATAGGTACACACATGACAGTGTGATTTGCTGCCTTCCTCCCCCTTACCTACATCTGGCATTTCTCCCCATGCCAACCCCCCCCAACTCCCCACTCCCCACTGTCCCTCCCCATTTCCCTCCAACAGACCCCAGTGTGTAGTGTTCCCCTCCCTGTGTCCATGTGTTCCCATTGTTCAACACCTGCCTATGAGTGAGAACATGCGGTGTTTGATTTTCTGCTCCTGTGTCAGTTTACTGAGAATGATGGTTTCCAGGTTCATCCACAAAGGACCTACAAAGGACACGAACTCATCGTTTTTGATGGCTGTGTAATATTCCATGGTGTATATGTGCCACATTTTCCCTGTCCAGTCTATCATCGATGGGCAGTTGGGTTGGTTCCAGGTCTTTGCTATTGTAAACTGTGCTGCAATGAACATTTGTGTGCATGTGTCCTTATAGTAGAACAATTTATAATCCTTTGGATATATACCCAGTAATGGGGTTGCTGGGTCAAATGGAATTTCTATTTCTAGGTCCTTGAGGAATCGCCACACTGTCTTCCACAATGGTTGAACTAATTTACACTCCCACCAACAGTGTAAAAGTGTTCCTATTTCTCCACATCCTCTCCAGCATCTGTTGTCTCCAGATTTTTTAATGATCGCCATTCTAACTGGCGTGAGATGGTATCTCAATGTTGTTTTGATTTGCGTTTCTCTGATGACCAGTGATGATGAGCATTTTTTCATATGTTTGTTGGCCTCATGCATGTCTTCTTTTGTAAAGTATCTGTTCACATCCTTTGCCCACTTTTGAATGGGCTCGTTTTTTTCTTGTAAATCTGTTTTAGTTCTTTGTAAATTCTGGATATCAGCCCTTTGTCAGATGGGTAAACTGCAAAAATTTTTTCCCATTCTGTTGGTTGCCGATTCACTCTAATGACTGTTTCTTTTTCTGTGCAGA